TCTGTGAAGGGCTTTGAGACGTCTCGAAGATGTGATAAGGCGCTAAATCAAATGCAAGTATCATTATCATTGTTCACCCACATCTATTAACGTAGTACTTCAAAAGGTGTGTAAATTGAACTCCTCCAACAACCCTGTGGCTCAGTGGTTAGAGCACTCGCTTTGCAAGTGAGAGACCTGAGTTCAATTCCAGGCAGAGGGCGAAACCTTGGGCAAGTTTCCTTACTCCACACGCCTAATAATCCCTCCAAAAAAACAAAACAATAATAAATTGGTCATTTTCAATCCATATGACTGTTTGTGGGACACTGCTGTGCGCAATTGGCTGCCGCGTTCGCACACAAATATACAGTCAATTCACTTTACAGTGTGTTCTGTGAAGCGCTTTGGGACGTCCTCCCGACGTGAAAAGCGCTATATCAAATGCAAGGATTATTATTATTAACCCTTTTCCCATCCAGATATAGGAAACTGCATAAGTGACCGAATAAGGTCTCGAACTGGAACTGGAGTATCCTTAGCAAGAAGTTTCCACCTGCGTTAGAATTGTCCCCCACTCCAAAAGAAACTGCAACAACAACAACAGAATTACATGTATATAGTGCGTTTCACATTGGGAGGACATCCCAAGGCATTGGACAGACAGAGTTTTGGACCCAAGCTGGGGGTCAGGATTGGGGAGGATGGAGGGCAGTGGGGGAAGCAGGGAGATTAAAAGCATGGTCAAAGAGGAGGGTTTTAAAATGGGTCTTGAAGGAGGCAAGGGAGGGGGTGAGGTGGAGGGACTGTGGGATGGAGTTCCAGAGGGTGGGGGCAGAGTGGCGGCCCGCCCGCCAATATAGAGTGAGCAAGGCGGGGGACGTGAAGCAGGCTGGAGCCCACTGAACGGAGGGAACGAGCAAGCTAGTAGGAGGTCACAGAGATAGGGGGAGCAAGACCATGGAGAGCTTTGAAGGTGAGGACCAGGATCTTGAACTGTATCCTCTGTGTGATGGGAAGCCAGTGGAGTCGGGCGAGGATGGGGTGATAGGGTCACGGAGCCTGGTACGGGAGAGGGCATGGGCTGCAGAGTTCTGGATGATCTGCAGCCTAGGGAGGGAGGAGTTGGGGAGGTCGACAAGTAGTGAGTTTGCGTAGAAAGGCCTCGATGTAATGAAGGTGTATATGAGGATTTTGGGGGCCTGCGGAGTGAGACAGTGGTGGAGCCGGGTGTTGTTGCAGAGGTGGGAGAAGGCAGAGCAGGTTATGGCACAAATGTGGGGTAGAAAGGACAGTTGAGGGTCAAACAAGACCCTAAGGTTCTGGACTGGCTCAGTGAGGGGGAGTGCGCAACCATGGATGGTGATGCTGTCAGTGCCTGAGTTGTGGAGGTGCTGACGGGAGCCAATCAGGAGACCCTCGGTCTTGTTGACGTTCAACAGAAGAAAATTAGCTTTCATCCAAGAATTGATGTCCAACAGACATTCTGTCAGGAAAGCAGTGGTCCTGGAATCAAGGGAGGAGGCAGAGTGTCATCCGCATACATTTGGCAGTTGATCCCCGTATTTGAGGAAGATGTCACCAAGAGGGAGTATGTAGATATTGAAGAGGAGGGGATCAAACACAGAGCCCTGAGGAACGCTGCACAACATGGTGTGGGGACTAGAGGAGAAACCGTTTGTGGAGATGAAGTGCAGGTGGTGTGAGAAGTATGATCTGAACCAGTCAAGGACAGAGCCATGAAGGTTGAGGTGAGAGGAGAGGTGGTGGATGAAGCAGTGGTTGACGGTGTCGAAGGCAGCAGAGGTCAAGGAGGATGAAGAGGCAGAGGGAGTCCTGGTCACAAATGGACAGAATGTCATTTGTCACGTTGACCAGGGCTGTTTCTGTGCTGCGGCCGGCACGGAAACCCGACTGGAGGGGTTCGTGAAGGGAGTGGCAGGAGAGGAAGGAGTGAAGCTGGGAAGCAACAACTAGTTCCAGGACCTTGGAGAGGAAAGGGAGGTCAGAGTTGGGGCAATAATTTGAGAGTAGAGATGGGTCCAAGAAGGGTTTTTTAAGGATAGGTGTGATAATCCCTCAAGNAAAAAAATAATAATTTGGTTACTCAATCCACGACTGTTTGTGGGACACTGCTGTGCACAATTGGCTGCCGCATTTTGCCCACAAAATATACAGTCAACTCACTTTACAGTATATTCTGTGAAGCGCTTTGAGACATCTAGAAGACGTGAAAATTGCTATGTCAAATGCAAGGATTATTATTATTACGGACATTCTTAATGGAGTGGGAACAGTACCATTAGACAGGAAGAGATTTATGATGTCTGTGAGTACAGGGGCAAGGAGGTAGAGCTGGGAGGTAAGGAGAGGTGTAGGGATGGGGTCAAGGGAGCAGGTGGTCAGTTTCATGCGGGTTATAGTGGTGGTGAGAGAGGAGTGGGAGACAGGTTCGAAGGTGTGGGGCAAGGCACGGGTAGAGGCCGGGGTGGGAGGGAGAGATGGGGAGGGTGTAGCGGACGGAATGGTATAGGCAGCTGAGCGGATCCGCTGACATTGGATTCGAAGAAGCCAAGCATCTCCTCGCGGGTGGCGTTTGAGGTGAGGATGGGCGAGGTGTGAGAGGGTGGGCGGAGGAGCTGGTTGGTGATGGAACAAGTTGATCAGAAATGCAAGGTTTATTTGTGTAAATTGTGCTGTGTGAGGGCATGGAGCCATAATTTTAGCCCTGAAAAAAAAAGATTCATCCCAGATCTTTCTTGCCCTGTTATTTCTTAACAAATGTTGAACTCTGCCCCTACGCACAAACTCACTCAATTTACCAATAGGGGGAAGCAGAGCAGCACATCTGGATTTACATGGCTTCCCAATGTGATTTTGAGGGGGAAAATCGAACAGTGCAAACTCCAAATGCAAGAAATAATTCGCAAACGTTCCATATATATTTTATTGAAGACATGGTTGAAGTTTTTTGTTGTTGAAAGTGTATGCGTCGTGGCTATTTACAAGATCAATATTTTGAGTGAGCAAACTTTACGTTGTGATACTGTATCACTTGCCATAACATGCTGGGAGTTCCCACAGAGATCTTCGTGCATACACTAAAGTGTTTGCCAGTAAACATCAAGAGCTGATATAATTGTTTTGTCTCCAGTAACACAAAATAGTTGGGGTCCATCGTGACCCATGTACTTTGCACCTAACAATCTAGAGGTGTTTATTTCTGCAACAATCATAGCTTACCAGCAACTCAGCTCTGTCTGAGTTTGAACACACACAACTCTGTTTTGTGGTAAATGCCAAAAGTTTGCTCGAATTTAGTTATTTAAAACAGGGTGGAGGTATTTAACTGCGACTCAGTCTGCACAAAAAAACATAGGGGCAAGAACAGAGATGAGAAAATAGGGTCAAGAAACCCCAAGTGTAAACCCACTTGGTAGGTGAGTTCATTTAAGTCCTCAAGCTCTTTATCGACTTTTATTTAAAATTTGGTGTGGAACTAAATCAGACTTAAAGAAAGTTGTAGTTTAAGTAAACTGACATTTTTTTTTGTAATCCAGAGAGTAACTGCGCTGTGAGTGAATGTCTGTAGAATTCCTCTCCGGAATCAATGAGAAGCAGTGAGCATCGTCAGTGTGGAGCTCTTCAATATTGAGAAGTTGATGAGACTTTTGGAAATAGTTAAAACCTACGGGAAATGTGCAGTGTGCGCGGATCCTGAGAGATACCTGTGTGAGTGTGAGTGAGTGAGTGAGTGTGTATGAGTGAGTGAATGAGTGAATGAGTGTGTGTGAGTGAGTGAGTGTGTGTAGTGAGTATTGTGAGTGAGTGAGTGTGAGTGAATATGCGTGTGTGTGTGTGAGTGAGTGTGTGAGTGTGTGTGAGTGAGTGAGTGAGTGTGAGTGAGTGAGTATGTGTAGTGAGTATTGTGAGTGAGTGAGTGTGAGTGAATATGCGTGTGTGTGTGCGTGAGTGAGTGTGTGTGTGTGAGTGTTTGAGTGTGTGTGAGTGAGTGAGTGAGTGAGTGAGTGAGTGTGTGTAAGTGAGTGAGTGTGTGTAGTGAGTATTGTGAGTGAGTGAGTGTGAGTGAATATGCGTGTGTGTGTGTGAGTGAGTATGTGTGTGAGAGTGAGTGTATGAGTGTGTGTGAGTGAGTGAGTGTGAGTGGAGTGAGTGAGTGACTGAGTGGAGTGTGTGAGTGTGTGGAGTGAATGAGTGAGTGAGTGTGTGGAGTGAGTGTGAGTGAGTGAGTGTGTGGAGTGAGTGTGAGTGTGTGAGTGAGTGTGTGAGTGTGTGGAGTGAGTGAGTGAATGTGAGAGTGAGTGAGTGAATGTGAGAGTGAGTGGAGTGTGTGTGAGTGAGTGAGTGTGTGAGTGAGTGAGTGAGTGTGTGAAGTGAGTGAGTGTGAATGGAATGAGTGTGTGGAGTGAGTGAGTGAGTGAGTGAGCGAGCGAGCGACTGTGTGCAGTAGAGTGAGTGAGTGTGGAGTGAGTGTGAGTTGAGTGAGTGTGTGGTGCGAGTGAGTGGAGTGGAGTGAGTGAGTGGAGTGGAGTGGAGTGTGTGGAGTAAGTGATGAGTGAGTGGAGTGAGTGAGTGGAGTGAGTGAGTGGAGTGGAGTGGAGTCGGGTTGTCAGTGTGGAGTACAGAGAGAGAGAGAGAGAGGGGAGAGGGAGGGAGGAGGGGGTGGAGGCGCTCCTCACTCCAACCACAGCCACAGCCGCTGACACCCCCCACACCGCCCCCCCCCCCCCCCCCCACACCGCCCCCCCCACACACCTGTCCGCACAGCCTCCGGAGCTCAGCCGCGGCTCCGCGTTGGGGGCGCTCTGATTATTTAAACGCCGCGCTCTGGCGCTCGGGCTCTCAGTCGCCTCCGGTGAGTTGACCGCAGAGCTCGAGCCGCAAAAAAAAAAAAAAAAAAACCCCGGGCGCCCGCTTCCCCCCCGGGAGATCCCCTCCCGAAGTCCCCCCCCCGGAGCCCCCCGGATGGGGGGGGGGGAGACCCGCGTGCGGAGCGGACGATGAACGCTTTCGGCCAACAGCCCGCGCCCGGCGCTCAGCCGCCCCCTCTCCAACAGCAGCAGCAGCAGCAGCAGCAGCACCCGAGCGCGCAGGACATCTTGGACGTGGCCGTGTACTGCGACAACTTCGGGGTATACCCCCAAAACCTGCACCACCACCACCGCCACCACCACCACCACCACCGCCCTCACCCTCAGCGGACATCCACCGCCGCCCACCACCCGCCGAGCTACGGACTGGGCGACTACCCGCCCACCGCCAGCAGCCCTTACCTGTGGCTGAACGGACCCACCATTAACTCCTCTCCTTACCTTCCAGGGCCGAACCTCCCGTCCGGCTATGGGGCGGCACAGCGGCAGTTCCTGCCCTCTGCCTCGGGCTTCGGGGGCACGGCCGAGCTGGGCTGGTTGTCCCTGCCCGGCCAGCAGGAGCTCTTCAAGATGGTGCGCCCCCCTTACTCCTACTCCGCCCTCATCGCCATGGCCATCCAGAACGCGCCGGACAAGAAGCTGACCCTCAGCCAGATCTACCACTACGTGGCCGAGAACTTCCCCTTCTACAAGAAGAGCAAAGCGGGATGGCAGAACTCCATCCGGCACAACCTGTCCCTGAACGACTGCTTCAAGAAGGTGCCCAGAGACGAGGATGACCCAGGTACAGTTTGAGCTGTTCTCCATCATCTCCATCTCCTCCATCATCTCCATCTCCTCCATCTCCTCCATCATCTCCATCTCCTCCATCTCCTCCATCTCCTCCACCATCTCCATCATCTCCATCTCCTCCATCATCTCCATCATCTCCATCATCTCCATCATCTCCATCTCCTCCATCATCTCCATCATCTCCATCATCTCCATCATCTCCATCATCTCCATCTCTCTCTCTCTCTCTCTCTCTCTCTCTGTCCCACCGTTTCAATCGGGTTTATTGTTCACTTTGCTTCACTGCAAAGCAAAACCTCAACTGGGTGTTGTGGGGTGTGTGGGGTATGTGGGGGGTGGGGTGGGGGGCAATGAAAAAAAAAAGCGACCCATGCAACAGTCACTTTTGATTCAAATCTAAAGGCGAATGAATGTTTTTAGTCGTTCACCAGCACAGGGTCGGGAGGAGCTCGAAATACAACTGTTCTGGTTCCTCTCGCAACTGCGACGTGTGCGTCAAAGCAATTTGCACGGCGACAGGATGAAGGGTTCAGTGCACGTTTCAAACTGTTGCCCCCAATTCATTGGGGGGCAATTAGAAAGTCTCTTTGGGTGGGATCTGACTGCCGTTGTCGGCCTACAAGCAACTGTAGGCGTTATTCTCAACGTCTTGGGGACGGAAAGGGTCGAGGTTGAAGGTTCAGTACAGTTGTGGGGTGGGGGTGAGGGGGAGAGGGATTGTTTTGGGTTCTGTTTGGGGCACTTGACATTTCACCAGAAAGTCACGCTGTCTGCAAAACCTGTCTAAATTGCGTGTGGAGAAGTCGTTTCGCTTCCTGCCTCGTCTCCTGCAGAAGTTCACTGTGTGTTAAAAGTTTGTTGGCCATTGTCAGTTTCAAACTTGAGTTGCACTGAACTTTTTTTAAAAAGAAAAGCATTGCCTTTTCATTTCTTTTATATATATATCTATATATATATAGATATATATATATATATGCGCAGCTTGTTTCAAATCAAACCTTTTACATTCAAGCACCAGAACCCCGGGGCTCTTTTGCATTAAAAAAAACCCCCAACTGTAATGATGTACCAAAGTCGTGTGATTTAGAAGATTGACTGTTTTGTCCTTCCAGGTAAAGGTAACTACTGGACTCTGGATCCCAACTGTGAAAAAATGTTTGACAATGGGAATTTCAGGAGGAAGAGAAAGCGCAGGTCTGACACGACAGGTGGTCAAGGGCTTGGTGACCAGACGGGTGACTCCAGCAGTGCAGTTATCAAGCCTTCAGAAACGGTCAGTCTCCTGGACTCGACTTCCCCGGGACTGGAGAATTCCCCTGGATCTGCAAGTGATTCCAAACCTTCCCCCCCACCCAGCATACAGTCCAGCAGCCCCTGTTTCGGTAGCTTTGTCTCCAGCATGAGTTCCCTGATGAACGGGTGCAATGCCATGAATAGGCCAATTGCTTCTGGAGGACTGGTGGGAGACTTAGTGCAGTGCAGGCAAACTCTCCCCGGACTCAATTCCTACTCGCCTTCTCAGAGCGCAATCCACAACGCAGTCAACGTCCACAATCGACTGAACTACTATCCATCTAATATTTCAACCCAACACAGTGGGATGAGCAGCCCCTTGTGTAACAACTTCAGCGTCAACAATTTGATTTACAGCAGAGAGGGGACCGAAGTTTAACCGCAGACGTTGTAAATATTAAAAAAAAAGTGTTTTTTTTGTTGAAAAAGCTAGACCAAACAGAGAAAGTACTTTTATAGAATGGAGATGTAAGTGATACTTTTAGTGTAGTTGTGTTTTTTTTTTGTTGCATAACCGTTTTAGCATTTTCAAGTAAGAAGTGCCTTTATTGATCCATTTTGTGGATGGATCAAATTCCGTTTACTTACACAAAGCATTCCGACACGAATGGTTTGCTTACATATGTGACACTATGCAAAATTAAAATGTCAAACGAAAGATTGCTTCAGCCAATAGATGAACAACAATGCACTAAAGTAAATATAACATATAACTTGTGACTGTGTTCTGTCTTGATATCATTCTTTTGAAATGTTGCCAAGCCTCAATGTCTTATTGTTGTGTTCCATGGAGAAATATGTGTGTCAGGTTAAAAATATAAAGGCTTCAGAAATCGTTCATTTGACCCCTTAGGATATAGCTATCAGGCTCTTGGGATGATTGGTTTGATGAGATTCACCTTAAGTTACCTGTGTATTTGGCATGTTGAATTTGATTAATGCTACTTATTGTGTTGAAAAACATGTATTCATTGTACCTGCTACTTGCATTATTGTACCTAAAGGTGCATATCACGTAGTTTTAAGGAACTAAGTAATTCCCCATATTTAAAAATAGCCTATTGAAGTTTTCATGCATAAGATTGTTTATTACATTGGAATGAAAATAAAGGTTTGAAATACACCACCTTAATATGATGTCCATCTTTTATTTCTGTATATGCAAAAGATATACGTACATACGTTTACATTTAAGATCAAACGACGACTTTGATGAAAATCAAGGGTAATATTTTTTTCATGGGCTACTTGGATTTCTAAAGGTAACTCAGGGTATACAGTCTGTAACAAATGATATTTGGATTTTGAAAGCCGCATATGTACACATATATTCACATTCTTATGTCCCACAGTTACACTAGAATCTAAAACTATGGGTGTACAAATTATTGCTGTTTACACAAATCAATATTGAAAAATAATCCGATGCCCACGAGAGGGTTTATCTTGTGACACAAGTAGGATTATCTAATAAAATAAAAAATAACGTAGCTAACTGAGAAAGTTTCCCTTTACTTTGGGGATATTTAGACGTTTCAGAATAAGGAAAGGCAAAATGTCCGAATGCATTTGCTCTTTAATTTTCATAAATACGCAACACAAACCCGTCGCTCAATAATGGTTGGACCAGAGATGTTTAAGTAAAACATTAAATAAACAAAAACCCTAGAAGATCGATGAACATCTTCCTCTGTGAAATTAGATGGACTGAAAACGATAAGGGGCAGTAAAAAAAAAATCCAAGGCGGAAAAGTGTTCCACTTTCACCGTGAAATTAATGGGCAAATAGATTTTAGGACTTGTGTTTCTTCATTCCAACACGTCAAAGCACCCCAGAAAAAATTGCAGTTGCCACTTGCACGGAATCGAGATGTTTTTTTACCGCATTTGTAAATTTACCACATCTCAGTCTTCCAGTTGATATAACTTGTAGAAAATACCTGCAAGTATCGAACACGCTCGCCTGTGCAACCAGTCACCCTCTGGCCAAAGAAATTCGTGTGAAGTGCTTTGAGAGCTATAAAAGAAGGCTCTTTCAAAGGCAAATACCATTTTAATTGAATCTGAGCTGATTTTTACTAGTTGTGCGCTGATTATGTTACACTACTGGTGCGTTTGATTTTTTTAAAAAAAGTTCCCTGGAATGAATCCAAAAACCACTAATGCCATTAGGAAGAGGCTATTAATATCGTTTCAGTGGGTGCCATCGTAGTGGACAGACATTTCGACAGGAATTGTTCACTTAGATGAAGCAAATACACATAAGTGACACTAAATCCTAGGAAGAGAGCTCAGCTCAGTGAGGACAGTGAAGAGTTTCGGATTTCGTCCCATCACTGATGACATGCAATGGTTACTTTATGCCCGTGACCTGCAGTGAGTTTGGACTTCAACAATAAAAGGCGAGTTTCAAGTTCAATTCTATTATTTAAATCGAACATTATCCAAAAAAAAATCCCAAACTTTCCGTTTTCAGTCTAGGATCCAAAGCAAATCATGACTCGTGGAATGTGTTGAGTGCTAACGTGTTACACTGGGAAGCAACTTTCAATTGGGTTTTAATTCACACGCGGATCCCTTGGTTTTACTGTAATAAAGCGTGGTGTTACAACAGGTAATGTTGCTTTTCTATTGGTGCTGAACTTTCGACGGGTGTTGATGTTTACTGATGCAGAAATCACCTTGCATGTTCCTGGCGGTATTACAGTAAGTATCATTGACATTGCAAGTGACAGCTGATTCCTGAAGCAGGTGTAATCCTCTCGTTACTTGCATGATTCATTAGGGTTATCAATGCAATATGATAACAGATCGATTTAAGGTGCTGAGAGACAGATCCGACCTAATATCCTCCAATCCGATCACCTAAAGCAAGTAAACATATTCGCTGAAAACTTTTGTGCTTGCATTTTTCTTCCAAAAATAACTCTTACAATAATCCGACTTAAGCTCTATACTCATCCACCTCCGAACTGCACAATTACAATAACGATTAGCATAGTGTATGTATTTATTTGTTTATTTGCATATTGGGGTCAGTAGATAACTTGCTGGACAAACAGGGTTTGTTGAAGTGGAAGTCATTCTGAAGTTTTTTGCGCTTGGGTAGGAATAATGAAACAACCTACCTGTCGTGTGCGTTAATTATTTTTTATTGAATGGGGAAAAATGAACCCATCCGTTTCTCTGAAACAGAACATTAGTGACAGATTTTACATGCAGACTTCAAAAAGGTTTAATCGTTATTCTAGTGCAACCCGACCTCCCGTTGAGCAGCTCTTTAATTACACACTTCTTTGCAAAAGTAGGTTCGTGTTTTTTTCCCCCCCAGTTTTAGTGTAAAAAGTAAGGAGGTATTGTTCGGAAAATATCTGATTAAACACTACGTTTACGTTACATCATCTACCTGGTATTTGATCTTTATATTGTGTTGGTTAATATCTCATTTCATTCCGAAATACGACTGAAAATGCCTTCACCGCAGGCATTTAGACCTTTTTTTTTCCCCCCAAAGAGAAAAGTCAACTGTGGGCTCTCCAAAACGCGTGATGTGTGCGAATTTTCTTCGAGTGGTTGGAGTTTAATGCCCTGCGTAAAAGTGGACTGCAACCGTGTGAAGTGGTGGAAATCTCACTGCTAAAGGGCTAAAGGTTAGATATATTTTTTTAAAAATTGGGGGGACAATTCTACTTCAAACGAGAGGACACACCAATCGCTTATCTGGGTTAATTGTGTCGGAATAAATAAAAATAATCGTCTCTCGCCCTCGCTCTCATTTCTCGTGGGGGTTAATGTTTTAATGGTGTTGATCTTTTACCAATTTCCAAAAAAAAAATGAATGAGCTCGCGTGTCTGAGGACTACTTGCAGGACAAAAAAGGCGACCCTGGATCTTTGCAATTTGTTTGGAAGGGCAACAACCCCCCAAAAAATCGAAAGTGCAATTGCACTTTTGCTTGTCCATTTCTACACCTCACTTTGGTGTTTCTCCACGTAGCCCTCTATTTCCACAGGTTTTTTTTTTGGGGGGGGTGGGGGGTGGGTGGCGTGGGTCATTTCCAATATTGCCATGCTACACAAGTGCCTACAAAATGATGAACATATGAAAGAGTCGCGTAATGGCAGCAGTTGAGTTGAATCTCACTTGCAGCAACATTCTTCGTGGGATGGGGTAGAAACACCCTTTCTTTGGGGTCATTTTTTTATTAAGGTAAAAATGAAGATTTTTATACAGAAATGAGGTGCTCAACGTTACAGCAGAGCTGCCGAATTCTTGGAACATCTTTGTGCAATTTCAACGAGAGGTGTCGCCTCCTGTTCTACATCTCATGCACTGTGTTTCGAGCTTCGCGAGGGTCCAGGTGATCTCCATAGAGGTATAAACAAAGTTATATCTGATTTTACAACCTAATTTATTCAGATATCATTGCAACACATGACCCATATACTTAATGCTTTCAAAATCACTGAAGATAATCTGTAAGGAAAATAGGCCAATGTACAGTTCTGGACAAATTGTTTTTTTTTTGAACACCAAATCTCATTGCCACTTAATTGAAATACTCCACACAACAATCTCTCGTTGAATGTGCTCCACCGTATATTCTGCAAAGCTATGAAGACCAAGTTATTTGTTTGCCTCTCGTTAAAACTATTTTTGACTCGACACTGAGCAATTCAGCGTTGGAAAGGCTTGAAGAAAATCCAATTGGGTACATTGGATGTTGGTTAGGTTAAACTTGCAATATTAAACTGGAACTTGTTGGGAGTTTCATGGCAATCGCTACTAGTTCGGTTCAACGGTGGAAAGAAAGCATGTGAGCAAAGCTGGGGATGTCCTCCTGAGATACGGTGCAAACATTCTGACCTCGAATTACATCGCTCAAAGCATTTTTTTTCCCTCTCTCTCTCTCTCTCTCTATCTGAATACAATCAGGAGGGCTATGTTTTCACACAGATCCACAAAAACAGAGGGCAATGCACTTCATTAGCGACTCTTCCTGTTTTGTCGTTCGCTGTGCAAATGGGCTAATACATCTTTCTGTCTCAAATGTTGCTACGTTTTAAAGAAATACTGCATATTAAACTTTATGCATTTCGTCCTGACATTGTGTATTTCGGTATCATTAACTGTTATGATTTTTTTACAAAAAATGCTGTTGCCAGGTATTATGCTAATAAAACAGCCAACAGTGCAATTGCAATTGCAATGATTATTATTGTGTTTATTGGCTGTGTGGTGTGTAAGAGAAAGGGTAAGTGAACACGTTTGCGCTTTGAACAAAAGGGCGCATACAAAAACGTTCGTGAGACTGGTTTATATGTTTTATAATTCAGTGACAGGATCTTGGCAGGTCTTTCACGGGGGCTATAAGTCCTGGACCAATTCCACATGCAGAGACTGGGGCGAAGGATTGCATAATGGAGACAAATGAGAACCCATTTAGATTATTTTGTGAGCTACAGTTTTACCGTTAAATTAAATGAGTTCATTAACCAACAGCCATTTAGTTCCAGCCTTTAAGTTGTCATCGGACAAACAGCCACAACTTTATATAGTTGCAGTGGTATGTGCTAAAAGACCAGCTATTAACTTGAGAGAGTAAAAACAGTCAGTGGTGTATATACTGCAGAATTTGCTTCATAGGATCAGAATCTTATTCTTATGCCAGGTGACGGCACTGGCTAGATTTATCCATAAAATGGTTCCTGTGTTAATTTGCTGGTTCGTTATATGAACTTTTAATGATATCGTTTATCTGCGAGCTTTGTACATAAGTGCTAGACATGTTTAAACACTCCGAGCCATTAGAGACTTCCGAATGCATGGCAGAAAGATTTGTGACATGCCAGTTAATGGCTATCAATTAGTTCTGCATTTCTGTTAGGAGGTGATGCACATTCTCACACAACGCATGCTTTGGAGAGCAGAGATTATACAATACACATCACTGAATAATGCATTTCTTAAAATGCAGAATATTATTTGGGAATCCTTCGTGCAACATCACTGGGTATTGGTACAAAGTTACTCATGAATGACTCCTGCAAATTCTGATTTGGTTTTTGAAAATAAAAACGCAAACATTCAAATCAATTTAACCAACAATTGTGTGCGGGGAA